TTCCGTCCAGAGGACGGATACTCCAGCTAGTTTCTAATATAAAAATTATTTGGTGAGAGGTGCTTGGGACTAATTTCATCATGTATGATAAAACGACCCAGTTCGCAGAATAAAATAGTTTTTGTGCAAATTTTTATAAAAGTAATTTAGAGAACTATGTATGAGTCTATCAGGTAGTGTTTGTAAGGTTGCATATTTGTGTAAGAATACTGAAGATTGATTGTGGTACTCTATAGGCATTTGTTAGTATTGAATTTTGTAGTTTTCCAGATGAGAGATTCTCTTCAGTTTCTACACGATAAATAATCGATGCCTTAAAATTACTACAGGTCGGGTTTTCCCCTTTATGCTACACTTTGTTTTCTGCACAGAAAAATAGGTTTTATTACGAATTTCAAAGTAAATCTACTTCTACAGACTTTTGCTTGGTATGAAGAAGACAAACTTTCTACTATCAAGATTTGTTCTTATTTTTTTTCATTTTACGTACAGTTAGAAACTTACTACAGACTTCTAGCAACTGTAGCTAAATGATGAGCGAGTGATAAATGACTTTCAATAAGGACCGGTGATTACCGTGGCATTCCCTATACTGAAAGCCATACACTCACCGAAAAAAAAAAATAACAAAAAACAACTTTCTCGCCCCATGAAATTGTTGAATATTTCGTTTGCGTACATTATAATTTTAGTTCATTGACAGATACGCTACCAATGTCAAATGGTTCAGTTTGCACGTGGGTCATTTTGATACACAACTTCTCAAGACTGTTAATTGGAAATAATATACAATAAAATTAAAACCTACATATGCAAGCTGTCATAATGTGTAGAATACTGTACTGAAAAGAGTTAAGTAGAGAGAGAATAAAATCCAGAGTATACTTAAATAGTTTCCAACTATGTCCATCTCACAGCATCACATCCTGGTGGATAAAGGCTATTCCAAGACGATAATACAATCCATCCATCCATCACAGTCTTATTTACAGACTGGTTTAAAGAACGTAACAAGACGATAATACAACATTCTATCACACTTTTATCAACAGACTAGTTTTAGGAGCACAATGAGACGATAATACAACATTCCATCACTCTTACTAACAGACTGACTTAAAGAGAATAATGAAACGGTAACACAACATTCCATCACTCTTATTAACAGACTGGTTTAAAGAACATAACGAAACGATAATACAAAATTCCATCATACTCTTACTAACAGACTGGTTTAAAGAGCATAACGAGATGATAATACAACATTCCATCAAACTCTTACTAACAGACTGACTTAAAGAGAATAATGAAACGGTAACACAACATTCCATCACTCTTACTAACAGACTGGTTTAAAGAACATAACGAGACGATAATACAACATTCCATCAAATTCTTACTAACAGACTGACCTAAAGAGAATAATGAAACGATAACACAACATTCCATCACTCTTACTAACAGACTGGTTTAAAGAGCATAATGAGACGATAATACAACATTCCATCAAACTCTTACTAATAAACTGGTTTCAAGAGAATAACGAGATGATAATACAACATTGCATCACATTCTTATTAACAGACTGGTTTAAAGATCATAATAGTATATTCTTCTGAACTTGTGTCTACTAACAAGCACCTTAGTAATATTCCTCAATATTAACAAAAACATTTAGACTGGTTTATTTCTTGACTAATGTTAAAACCAGTTGTAGCTATTATTAATAATTTTCCAAGCAAAGTTTGTGACTTTACTAATGAAAAGGAAATGGTGATCAAAGTATATTTATTTAAACCAAGATAATTATCAAATATTTATGAAACATTTATCATCTATAAATAGTTCATTGCTATTAAAAGAAAACAATCTTTACAGTTAACAGTTCATAGCTAGTAATAAATCTAACTACCCTGAACAACAACTAAATTATATTTTCAGAGATCAATCTGTTTTAGGTCACTAAGAAACATGTTCAATTCAAGAATGTTCACGATCTATAAACAACACAAAGGTGGTCTATTGGGTAAAAGCAAAAAACAACAACAAAGAAACAAGGCTTTACCAAACTGTTCATAACATGTTTTGGTGAACACCAATGTCTTTTTACAATCAATATGCAGAGAAATGAGTGCTCATCCTGACCAACCTAATTAAAATGGGAGATTCCATTCTCTACAATGGTTGCTTGCTAATAATTTCCAGCAGTCTGTATAATATACACTACAATAGCGAAATATTTCTGACACTTTGTGTAAAAGAAACATTCTTGTAATATACGAATTATATAAACTATACCAAAAAGTTTCCCTTCATAACCTGACACACACATACACATACAAAAGAGAGAGAGAGAGAGAGAAAAGACAGCATTTTTACAAGAATATTGAACCAGTAGATACCTTCAGCTATTAGCTGTATCTCAATTTGCAGACTGAGTAACTATGGCTATTTTTGAACACCTTTCCTGAAAGAGTTTATAACATAGGTGAGATCATATGTAGTAATACTTTTGTAAGCCATTTATGTGCTTTTAGAGATTTTCAAGAGTTTGAGATATATGAACACAGTATTTTCATGCTGACACAGAGACAAGCTAAAAACTTTATTCCTTCTTTCATATGTTAACACTGTAACAAATGAGACAGAGTTGACATTTGCCAAGAAATGTGAATATCCAGGAAAAAATAATTCCACATAATCTGTAAGGCAATTTTTCTCTGCACTTTTTTTTATGTATAACGATTATCTACAATTGACTATTGTTTATCTTGTTCTGTTCCAATTTTAACTGTTTCATATGTATGAACTATCCGAATTCATAGAGTCATAAATTAGATGGTAAATAGTCTTAAGTAAACATCACATTAGAAACCAATACTTAGGGTTAATTACCACAGAATCATTTTAAACATTTTAACACAGATATAATTTTGGTGTAAACAAAATTAAAGATAATCAAATTGAAAAATACAAAATATCTTTTACTACTAATCAACAATTCTGTGATGATTTCTTTATTTTCATAACAAGCGACTGTAAAGTTGTAATACAAGTTGTTTCCATGTTTTTAAGCCTCTTACTCTATTTTTTTGAGCTACAACTGACATATTAAAGTAGATTATTAACTTTTCTACACCATTTTCATACAAATAGAACTTATAAAATACATGTCATAGATCTGTGTGTTAATCTTCACTATCTTATTACACCTATATAGTTTTACAATATATTAGTCACAAAATAAATTTGGAGGTACTTTAAAAACTTTATTCTTTGTCAATTTGAAGAAAACATTATTTTGAAATAAGCTAAACTTTCCATTTATAGGTGTTTTTTAACAATATGTTAAGTTTTTTTCTTAATATCTTGGTTACTTGCCAGGATTTCTGCTTTTTTCTGATCTTTAAGCTGCTGTAGAAAACTTTCCATTTGCTGTAAAGTTTCCCTTTGCTTTATTTTTCTCCTTGTTCCTAGAGGACCTATTTCTAATGACTCATCTTCAGGTAAGGAAGTGTTTGTACTTTGTCCTGTTGATGTTGACTGATTAGAATTTCCCATTAGTGCTTCATTGATTTTATGAGCAGCAGCTAATGCAGCCTTTAGACCTTTTTTGTCATCATCTGTTTCCATCCAGTTTTGAATAACATGTGCCTTTGTAATTTTAAGAGCTGATGTAGATTCACTTTCTTGTTTCTGAATTTTTTCTTGTCTAGCACGCTCTGCTCTTTCTTTCATCCTCTTCAATTTTTCTGGATCAGGGGCACGACAAATGATGTCTTCTGTTTTCTTCCAAGAATGTGCACTTCGCTGGTGATAAGATGGTTTTACAGGTTTCCTGAAAAATTTAGCCTTCTGGTAATAACGGTTGTAAGGACGGTAATATTTTTCTGGAGGAGGATATTTGTACTGTAAATGATGGTTGTAAACCTGTGTATGGCTTTTCTGAAATCCTCTAGATGGGCCAGGAAAAACATTATGTGTATTATGATCTTTATTGTGGTATTTCATGTGCCTGTCCAGACTTTTCTTCCCATCTTTACTGCTGCTACTACCACCATCACTTTCTGAACTATTACTGGGGCTGTGAGCTTTACTCTTTTTTTTCTTTTTGCCTTTTTTTGAAGCTTCTTGTTTTCCACTATGTATTGATTTCTTTTTCTTCTTCTTCTTCTTTTTCTTCTTTTTTAAAACTGATCCTTTTTCAACTTCTGAACAGGAAGACTTGTTATCTGCACTTGGATAATACTCCTTTAGAAACTGTAAACCTCCTCTAGCTTGGTCTGATGTATGATGAGCTTTCTTTAATTTTTTGTTCTTAATATCTTCAGAATCTTTGGAAGAGTTGGAGTGTTGATCAAGTTTTTTCTTGTACTTCAGTACTGCTTGTTCATGGCCATCCTGATCATATTCATCTGACCGATTAACAAAATGTTTCTTAGGTTTCACATTATACATCTCAGGCTCCTCAAATTTAGTCTGACTGTAAATCCTTGAAAATGGTAACTCCTCATCAGCTTTCATCACAAACGTCACTTTTGGGGAAGGCTTTCGAACTTTTGTATGAGTTTCAGAATGTTTTTCCTCGTTACGTTTCTGGATGCTAGAAGAATCAGGGTGAAGATGATGTAACCTACCACTGCCTGAGGCAGGAGATATACTGTGCTTTCTAGGCCAATGATGTTTATCTGGGGAATGATTGTAAGTATGATGTTTTTTTTCCAGGTTATGATCAGAGTGGTAGCTTCTGCAAATAAAATGTAACTAAATCACTCTTCTAGTTATATGTACTAAATTTCTTTTAATGTTTAAAATACATCCCAAGACCATAAATCAATCATTAAAATATTTACGGCAATGAGAATCAATATCAGACCCTTATATAAATATACTCAGCTATATAGAATAACTAATAAGAAAGTATATGAACCTGTACAGACAAAAATAAATACGTAGAAAATAGAAAATGTGATACTTTTGGCACATACTTATATCTGGGGAAAGGCTGCAAAAGATTTTGGAGAGTAAATCCAGGAAGCCTCAGATGGCTTGATAACATTAGAAGACAGATTAGTCATGGATTAGGAATGTTATTGCAAGCAGCCATGAACAAAAAGCAATGAAGAACCATAGTCTTTGGCCCTCAGAACTAGGGATAATCATGACTGATTGATATGTACAGATACAAACACAAGAGAAGCTTTTATATTGAATGCAAAAGTTTTGTCAAGAAAACATAACACATTATTCTCAACTCTAGTCATGCTATAAAATCAAAGTACTTTTCAATACAAACAGCTATAACAATTCTCTAAGTCACATGATAAGAAATCAATATTTCAACCATCAGCATTTTAACCATATTTTTCTAAATCATTTATGCAACTGAAATATATTGCTCATAAGTCCATTCTTTTGTTGGTTACAGGATCTCTAATAATATACAATTCACAAAAAAAACAACAATAAAGATAAACTTGCATCTTTGTGAGGGGGCTATCTTCACTAGCAACCCCCACTGACTGGTCCACATGAAACTTGGCACATACACATAGTGCTGATTTTGTACTGGACTATATCTAGACTAATAGCACAATCATTGTGTGGGGGTAAGTTTACAACAACCCCCCCCTAAATACACACTGACTCAAATCCACATGAAGCTTCACACACATTTAATTAATTTAGTTTGATATCATAAAGCAAATGGAACTGTATAATCATATTAAATTAATGCTACTCAAAAATATATTTTAGATTTCAAATTATGTCATTTTTCTCTCTTCAACTACTCTAAATAGTGTTTATTTATTTTCAAAACACACTATCCATACTTTAAAATTATCTTTGGATTATTTGAAAACATTTCATAGAATCATAGTTCAGAATGAGTAATTTATTATTATTATAGTTTCAGTAAACCTATTATGGTGCTTTCGTTTAATATTTTAATGACATTAGCATGGATAGTTTGGCTTTTTCATGCACAACTGTAAACATGAATGTTTAAAATAGTTCATGACAAACTAACCCTATTCATTATAGGGTCATATCAAGCTGGGTTATTGTCTGTTTAGCTTCTCTGACTGTGAACTGCATCGTTTGTTCTCTAGCTTCTTATACTCAAACTCAGAAACAACATTTAATTCTGAAGTTTTAATTAACTCTCATACCAGGTTACATAAATTTATAACACTGACATACAGTACACCTTTCTGTATTATGTACAATCTTACTACCATATATTTCATGTTAAGCTCTACTACAGTACTTGGAGTCACCATCTTCATCTTAATCTTTTACTGACACAGAACTAATGACAGTTCTTAGGGGTAGAATTCATTCTTGGTGCACATTGTCTTCTGTTAAAGTAACACATCACTAGCCTCTTAAGTTCGACTCTGCTTTTAGGTCCCAAATGTTCAAAAGAAACTGATCTCAAACAGCATTTTTGGATGCCAGTGACCATAACCTGTAACTGCTGACAATATTATATTTAAACTAATAAACATAGTATCCACATAAAATAGTCTCTATACAAGATTACACAGATAAAATGGTCTTCTATAACATATCCTTTTTTTTCAGTATGAAAGTATTCCAGCATCAAGTGCAACAGTACAGTAATTTCAATGACTTAAAGACTAGTGAATTTAGTAACCACAATTTACTGATTTGGGCTGATGATCTTTTGTTTCATCATATCTAGTCTTTGGAGGGCTCCAAGAAACTGGCAACCAATACGTTTCAGCAAACCTTGAGAAAAAAGCTTTGTGATATTTTGTATGACACTCTGAATAATTTTGTAACAAACGTGGATATTAGTAAAATGGGTAAAGTAAGTATAAACTTATATCCAACAGACCAAACTTCAGTTTTTAAAGGCAGATCATGAAAAAAAAACATTATTGCTTGTTCAGACAATGATACCCAGAGAATCTTCAATTCATGCAATGTTTGCAAGGAAAATATAACTTTGTCTTCTACATATTCTCATTTGTCAAACAATTATGGAATTTCAACACCTCTGCGAGTTCCAAATTTTCATTTTTATACATAATTAGGGAGTAAAGTTATCACTCTAATTGAAAAACTTGCATTTAATGATGAAAGAAAAGAATCTTATGATGCAACAGATTTTCCATATGATCAGATGAGCAAAGTTACAAAAAAGCTTTCCTGTCTTCATCAGTGAGTACAGTTACTTCATATTCTTTTTAACCTTTCCCTGCATGTGTGGTTGAAAATTTTCCTGTTGGAACTAATGTATACTCATTTTGCAACATTCATGTATTTGTTTTCTGAATGTTCACAATCCTTAAGTAATGAAGAAGGATACAGAGGAAGATGTCTGTTTAAGTTGTGAAAGCTCAACTACAGAGCAAAAAACTGTTGTAAAACACTTGTCAGTAGTAGAGAACTGACATGGATTAGCAATATCTCTTACGAAAAGAAAATCCTATATAGATACTAGCCCTCTTGATAATGCCTTATTTTCTAATGTGCATGGAAAATAAATGATACAGAAATTGGGAATTTTTTTAAATGGTAATTCTGCAGATTTGAAGGTGGTCAGCATTTGATGTTATTGTTCAGATCCTTGCTGTGGCTAGTCTGGATAGTGCCAACTACTGTTCTTATATTGAATCAAACATACATCTTGACACCATGAAACTGATTCATTCACTAGCCAAAAAAAGGAGATAACCTCAAAAGTATACTGACTGTGAGACTGTTTGTCATATATTATGCCAAATGAATTTTGGTGGATTGATAAACAAGTTATTGCAGGTAGATCTAAGTTATAAAAAAATTAGAAGATGTTCAGAAGATTAATTAATGTGATGAGAGTTACCATCAACTCCTCACTTATGAAGGAAAAAGAAATATCACAAGATCGGCATTTAATTCAAGAAGCAATGACATATAGCTCCCGCCTTGTTCTGTGGATGTTGTGCAGCCTGCTGGTCCATGCTGCACAGGAAAGCACATGATACGATATCCCGAAAATAGAGTAGCATTTGTTTCTTGAGATATTTGATCTTAAAAGTGCAACAAATGAAAGCAACCTAGAAAGAGAACATGCATACCTTTTTCTTGCACTTAAAGAATTAGATATTGTAGGAGTAAAGTTGTACCTGCATAGCATTGTTTCACTTATCCTGCCATTAGAGTAAAACATCTATTCCTATGGCCATTATGTGGCTTGCCATAAAAGAAATAATAACTCTTGGGAATTGTTGGATGATTGACATAAAAACTAAGTACAATGAAAGTAAACTGTAACATAAATCATCAAGTGTATGTTTAATCTGTACGACAAGTCAAACCTTCTTAAGTGATGAATGCTGGAGTATATTATAGTATATTTGTTGTATTTGTCAGTAGGCTTATTTGATGTTTCATTCAGGCTGACATTTTAGACTCAAGGACAAACCTTGATTTATTGTATCATCTTTCATATTTTTTACCACGTACCTAAGGATCTTTCACCTCAGTGCTGTTGAATTACACATACATTTATATTTTTATAACCTGATGAATTTTTATATAAATAAAAACTAACAGTTTCCTTTGAAGTTTAACAAATAAAATTGTTGTTTGTGCTATCACTATTTGAATTTATATTGCAACATATTAGATGCAGGCCCACTTCATACAATGACAGAAATTCAGTTGACTTTTGATAGAATATTAATTAAGAGTCACCCAAAACAAAACAGCAGAAAAGTAGACAAAGTATAAAGATATGATACATAACTATATGAAGGAGAATACAGCAACATATAATAAAAGGTACAGACAAAATCTGAACAGATAATGAACAAGTTAGCTAACTGTTTGAAAAACAAAGCAATAATTAATAAAATTTTATAGTACCAAGAGTTTTAAGAGTCAGGAAATATGGTACACGAAAAAAGAAGATAGCAGACCTTGAACTCTTGTTGAAGATGTTGATTATGTAAAGGAAGCTTTCCATCATAGCACTGGTAAGTCTACATGCTTCAAGTACATTTAACAGAATTCTTTACTGGTGGATCTTTTCCAAACACTCTATAATATTGTCTTTGTGCAAGAATAACTGATTTTATCTCTGATAACCACAGAAAACATATAACCTTGAATTGTTACAATTTTCTTTAATGGAGTATTTGCAGACCAGACATGCTGTTGTGAAGTTACCTTTACCTCACTCAAAACACACACACACAAAAAAAATGGTCTCATAAGTGTAACCATATTGCAACACAAAATCATCACTATGCCAAGCTTGATGTGGATCAGAGTCAGTCAGAGAACTGGAGTGAAGTCAGCCTTCTATAAAGATTGCTTCATAACTCTATTCGTAGTGCAGCAAAAAGTTAAAATTAGCCCTATTGCCACGGGCATCCTTTACTGTGCATGTCATGAGATTTTAGTGACTTACATTCAAAATTTTATTAATCTACTTCTTGTTTATGTTATACCAATTATTATAGCATAAAATCTTAGCTAATAATCCATATTTTAATAGTATATAGGTTTTAAGTTCTTAATTTGATAAGGCAATATTTAAAAAAATCCAGAATTTCCCCTAGTGTGACACATTTTCTCTAGGCGTCTCCTTTTCTCTATTTTATCTACCACAACTCCAATAAGTACAAAATTCAACACAAATTACTCACTATAAAATTGTCATTGCTCAAACAAACCATAATTTTTATAGCTTTCAATTTTGTTTGGTTACAGTGCCAACAAATAGAAAATCAGACCCCTCTTGCCACACCCACTTGTCACATCCTCTTTTTCAGAATTTGTTAATAGTTCTCTCTTACGTTTAATTCTATATTATCTATAACCAATAGAAAGTCAAGGTTTCAATCAATCAAATGATGTATTGTATAACGTTTTCTGAACAGAGAATTGTAAATTTCACTATTAGTACAAGCTTTGTTCTCACGGGAAAGATAATGACTAGCTTGGATGATTTTGTAACGGTTCTTGTTGCATAGTTAGAAAGCCAGAAAAACTGTGATAGTTGGGGAAATTGTCTACTTTTTGCATGTTATTATTTATGTCCTTTGGTGCATTATTTGATTAAATAAAAATTATTCAATGTACTACTTCCATTAGTATAAAAAATGTAGAGTTAAGTGTCAATGACAATCAACAGCAAGAAAAAAGAAGATTCGGGTAAGTTCTTTATTTTTTGTTTTTCGTGTTTATTCTTTATTTATTATTTAAAAAGTAATTAAAATGTAAAAATAGGGATCTCTTTAGGTTAATTTAAGTAAAATAAATAATAATAATATAATAAAAATATTTCACAGGCATGCAAGCGAGCAGCTCGTGGGTAATGTAATTCAACAGGGTAACATGAGCTCCACGTTACCCAAGCGATTTACAACTTATGGTGCGAATAGTAGTTAGACATGGTTCAAGGGACAATAAAACAATAAAATTTAATTATAAATAGATGTATCCTGTTATGAGTTTAAAGCTACTTAGGATAAATGAATGTAGTTTCATGTTACAATTTTAAGTCATTCTAGAAAGAAAAACTGACCAATCTTGTACAGAGTTAGGGTAGAGAAAATAACAGATAAAATATAAAGATTTACTGAAAACAAACATTTGAAATGTACTTAGGAGGTTTTAAAGATTACACAAATCAAATCTGAGATTTTTGAGTTAAAGAAAAGTATTTTTAATCTTAACATGAACATCACTTTGCACACGGACTATTCAAAACAAATACTCAATATATTCATGTACAAATCTTTTTTAGTTTATTTAAAATACCTCACAAAAAAATATTATTTTTTGTATGTGAAACTTATAATGTTTATTGAAAGACTGCCAAATTTTGTTAAGATTTACATACCATATTAAAAGTTAGTAGTATCAAATCTATAGACTTTATACGAGTACAAAGAGGTCATGTGGTCTGTCAAATCAACCGAGCCAGTGTTGAGAGAGTTAAATACATGTCAAATTTCATACGGATCAAAGTCAGTGGGGGCTGGAGTGTAATTTTGATGCATCATATTTTGATCTGTGAAATTTTCAGGTACAACTGTGATTTCTTTACCACTGATGTAATTACTAATTTTGTTTGTTGATGACCATAAACACCAGCAATGTAATTTTATTTTTAATACAGGTATATCAGTCATTGAATGTGATATATTCCAATATTAAGGAAAGTACTTTTAATAGCTTAACACTGATTAAATATTTACTTCTTACTCACTCTTTCCTGCTAGATGATGTACCTTCTTGGACAAGTTTTTTGTAATAACTTTTTAACCGTTCTTCAAGGGAGATATCAGGCTGTCTTTCTTCACTCAAAATGTGCTTTTTCCTATACATAATAAAACGAGTTTGTTTTTTTATAAAGGTGGGATGGAGTAGCATGACAAGTACCACACTTATAAATAGTAATTACATTTTCTTTATCGTAAACAAAACAATGATTATTTCTTTCATGCCTATAATTATTTTTAATTACTTTTTGCATGCCCTTATCTAAAACAAAAACAAAAAAACAGCAACTTGTAGTTTTCCACATAAAGAATTCTAAGTACTTATTTGCACAATTCAACATCTTTAATTTGCATTCACTGTACAGTATTAACACAAAATAAGATACATACCTTGATGGAGATGTTATAAATTTATCTTCTAAATCACTTCTTTTTACCCATTTATCTATATCTTCATGATATCTCTGTTTATAATCCCTATTTTCAAAATCTTGATGGAATTTTTCTCTTCTGTAAGTATTGGCAGACTTTTGGCTGCTATCTTTAATATTACTTCTTTGATGAGGAGATATACTACCTTCTCGCATATATTTTTTATGCCTATGAGAAGTTTCATCACCTCTCTCTCCTACTTTTAGACGTGGAGAAGGGCTCTGAGACCAGGGTGAGGCTAAGTTCTCAGATGGACAACTTGAATCTGAACCTTTCCTTTTTCTTTTAATTCTAGTAGAAAAAAAAATTATTGGCTATAAAATAATTTTATTTGGTTAAAATAATTACTTAGATAACAGTGTCAGAACATAACACTTCATAAGACTACAGTCTTCAATTAAGCAGCAGAAAGTTATAAGAAATAACCTGTAAAAATACTACGTCCAATGGATAATGGTTTTAACTGTGGAAAATGTTTACAGATTTGTTTGTATTGTTTATGTGTTTTCTTATAGCAAAACCACATCGAGCTATCTGCTGTGTCCACCGAGAGGAATCGAACCCCCGATTCTAGTGAGTAAATCTGAAGACTTACTGCTGTCCCACCAAGGAACTGTTTGCATTGTACTTTTTATAAAAATGTTACTCTAAGTAAATGAAACTGCAATTTCTCCAATAAAATCAGAAATCAGTCTGAAAAGTAAAAAACTGACAACACAAAGTAAGTTCTTCAGCTATGTTCTACAAGAATGATTGTCCTCTATAGCTTTCATGAAATATAACAAAAAATACTGTCATACAATGTCACCTGATCTAAGAGAAACGAGTCAAATCACACATTTCTAATTGTGATGCATTTATCTGTCTCAACTTATTTATTAAATAATCATATAAAACATATTGTAAAGATTGTCTCCAAAAACATTTACAATCATTCTTTTTTTTTAAAGCAGGAAATTTTTAACAGTTCTAAGCTTGACTATACTATTAATATACTTGTACAGGGTGTAATACTTATTTTGCTTATCACTGAATTAATCATTTGCAAAAGAAAAAAAAAATCTTTGGCAAAAGTTCTTCATTTCTCTTGGATACGAAATACTGCAGCAGTTAAAAGTTACCAGATTTTACTCTTTCATAACTACATTAAAAATCTTGATTTAGTGTGTGTGTGTTTTTCTTAGAGCGAAGCTACATCAGGCTATCTGCTGTGTCCATTGAGGGGAACTGAACCCCTGATTTTAAGCGTTGTAAATCCAAAGACTTACCGCTGTCCCACCAGGGGACTCAGTAAAAGTGTTCCAAAATTTTATATGCAGGTGTTCAGCAATTCAGCTAGCGGCCTTGTGAACAGGATGCAAGTGAGTCATAAACATACTTTAATCATTGCCCCAGGCTAAGGTTAAATACCTCAGTTTGCCCCTGAAGAAAGGTCCACCTTTCAAAAGTGCTTGAGTTCTAGGGTTTTTATCATTTTGTATCAAGACTTATTGAACCTACATGTTTTTCTGACATCATAAATATCTCCCCTCAAATAAGGGTCATGTCCAAATGAAAGTGATGTAGAGATTTGTACAAGTTAGCATGAGTCAAGAGTTAACCTACATTTGAATACGTATAATGAAAATGATAATATAAGTAATTAGGATTGTAATATGCCACAATACGACTTTAGTCTGACTTTAAAAAACAGTGTAAGTGTTTGAGCCTTTGCTCTTCATATTAATATCATTCCTTTGCATGCAAATCTTTTAAGAAATTAGAATATAACTTGGCTTAAAACTTATCTGTTGGTTCTAGTTTTACCTGAAAATACCACATTATGTCTTTGATCTCTCTTAGATATTAAAACATACACACACACTAGGCAAAATAAGAAATTCTCAGCATTACTGTACTTATGTGTGTACGTTACGTATTCAACTTTACAATAAGATTAATCTTATTAAACTTGTACTCAAATATTCTAAGCAGGATTACTGACAACCTGTGATATAATCACATGTATGCAAACCTTTCTTGTTTCTCTTCTTTTAGTAATTGTTTTAGCTTTTCCCTGGTATCTACTGCTGAAGATAGATTATTACCACATACAGTATTGGGTGAACTCTGAGTGCTAGTGCATAATACAGGTGAGGAAAGCTGAAAGAAAATCCGTGAAACAGTGTTCAAAATGTAGTTTTTACTTTCTTCAGAAGAATAAAATAATATCTCACATATGAATCCCAATATCATGTTAACAAAAATACAATCAACTTTGCAATTAATTACAATAATTATTACTATTTGAGTCCCTTACATATGTTTGTTTGTTTTGAATTTTTCACAAAGCTACACAAGGGCTATCTGCTCTAGCCATCCGTAATTTAGTAGTGTAAGACTAGAGGGAAGGAGTCATCATCAACCACCGCCAACTCTTGGGCTACTCTTTTACCAACAAATAGTGGGATTGACCATAATGCCCCCACAGTTGAAAGGTTGAGCATGTTCAGTGTGACGTGGATTCAAACCAGCAACCCGCAGATTGCGAGTTGAGAACCCTAACCACCTGGCCATGCTGGGCCTCTTTACATATGTATTTTACATAAAAATTTCACCCAATGTTTTTCACAATATTTATAATTTAGAAAATGTTAAGTTTTTCCAAAATAAGATTTTCATTTAGCCTACCAAATTCATATTAACAACAATATAAATATAAAGTATAAAAGTTAACATTTCATACACTGAAAATGTATTTCCGATAGATACTTACATCCTCTCCTCCAAAGTATCTCGACCTTGATTTGCCCTCTAAGCATTGCTAAAACGTTTTTTTTGCTAATAGCACACCATTCTGTTATACCCCTTTATTTTTGTGCCATTTCAGAACATGTGCATATCATGTGACTACCCTCCATCAATCATACTCTGCCACCATACTAGCACAGGTAACTCCCTCTACTATTCTAGCATGATCCTCACTTTCGAGAATTGTCAGTTACAAATTAAAACACTGCCATATCATCAGGGAGGAAGGGTGAAAAGTGGGTGAGGGGAGGTAAGTATCTATCAGAAATACATTTTCAGTGTAGTAAAATCTTAACTTCTAAAACAGAACTACCTCCTCTCACCCAAAGCTAGAATACTACATTGAAAAGATGGAGGGGCCAGTGAAGGCATGACAGTATTCAAATAAGTGGATAACAACCACCTGAAAAGAACAAGTGTGCCAGAAGAAGAAAGTAAGGCACACCTGTGTGGCAGAGCACTAC